ACGGTATCAAAAAATTATTTTTAGAATTAATTACAAGTTGTACCCCAAAAGATAGTGAGAATCTTAATTTGTACCCCAAAAGATCAAAAGTCTCAATTTGCACTCTCAAAGATAGAAATTTGTATTAATGTGCACCCCCAAAGATAAAAATTTCAATTTGTACCTCAAAGATAGAAATTTGTATCAATGTACACCTAAAACTAAATTGATAAATTATACCTAAATCCTCTCATACTTGTCACTTAATCATTTGAACCCTTTCACATTTAGAATATTACTCCTACATCTCATGACATTTGTGCACTTGTAACATATAATCTTTTTTCATTGATATCTGTTAATATAATCGTTAAAAAATATGATTTTATTCTAATAAAAAATTATAATTTCATATTACCCTTTATTTTGTGGGTTCGATATATTCTAAAGTTTAAAATCAAGTTTACCAGTGGACATTATAATTTTTTATTAGGATAAAATTATATTTTTTAACGGTTATATTAACAGATATCAATGAAAGGGGGTTACGTGTTACATGTGCACAAACGTTATGAGATGTAGGAGTAATATTCTAAATGTGAAGGGGTCCAAATGATTAAGTGACAAATATGAGAGAATCTAGGTATAATTTATCAATTTAATTTTAGGTGCACATTGATACAAATTTCTATCTTTGAGAGTGCAAATTGAGATTTTTATCTTTGGGGGTGCACATTGATACAAATTTTTATCTTTGAGGGTACAAATTGAGATTTTTTATCTTTGAAGGTGTAAATTAAAATTTTAATTATCTTTCAGGGTGTAACTTGCAATTAACCCTTATTTCTATATATCATAGTTGAACTCGGCAAAAGGGTTAAACCTAGTTTTCGTAGGGGTAAAACCCGTGTTTAGATTAGGGTGATAATTGAATAATAAGATGAAGATGGTTAAAATATGTTGGATCGGATACAATTGAATTGAGTTATGCTTAACCCATGTTTAGGAAACAAAAAAGATGCTAAGACGTCTCATTTGGGCCAATACCCAATTTGAATAGGGTCGTTTTTCCATCGTAATAGACTGTTTTCTAACCCCTCATCTGGATGTGGGTTAAATTTGAAGTAATGAGATTTGTTGCAAAAAGATTATTGTACTCCTTATTTTTTAGGAAGAATTACATTCAAATTTTTTGAAGTTTATCCTTTAATTTTTTAAATTCTTGATATTTAAAATATTATACACAAACTCCTGTAGTTTGTACGTGCGTAACATTTAGATTTTTGCTGTTAATATCCGTTAATAAATTATATTCAAATCTCCTAAAATTTGTAGGCGTGCAATTAGAGGTGTTCAAATTTCCAACTGGCCGCAAGTTCCGACCCTACCCTATCTTATTGAAAGACTAGCCACAAAAATTGAGTAGGAATACGGAAGAGTTTTTAGTCTTTCAACAATTTTCGGGTAGGAATGCGGAATAGACATTTATTTTCGCATTCCTACTCTACCCTACCCGCAATAATTTTTTTAATAATATATATATAGAAAAAAAACCCTAATCTACTGAGTCCCAAGAGCGCCTACGCCTCACACCTCACTCAGTCACTCCACTGCTCCTCCTTCGTTGTTCCAGACTTCCCACCCAGGTCTCTCTCTCTCTCTCTCTCTCTCTCTTTCTCTCTCTCTGTGTGGTGTGGTCCGGCTTGGAAGTTTGATTGCAGACTTTCATCTACAGTAACAGATTGGTTACATGATTGTGGTGAACTACTATAACGGAGCAATTATGATTTTAATGTATTTCATATGGTTTAAAGTTTAAACTTAAATTAATTATTATTGTATTTGTGTAACAATTATGGTGGATTGATGTTCATACTTTCTTGTGTTTTTTTATAATTATTGTTGTAGTTGTTTTAGATTTTAGTGTTAATTGATTTATTATGTTGTTAAATTGGTGTATGTTATTTAATTAAATTGTTAAAATGATCTAAAAATTAATTGTTACAAAAATATTTACCCGACTTCCTACCCAATTAATCGGGTAGGAAGTCGGGTAGGAATACTACAACTGTCGAATAGGGTAAGCTAAGAAAAAACTCTTCCGCAAAGTATCGGCTAGGAAGACGGAAGAATATATTTCCTACTTGTAGGGTAGGGTGAACACCCTTACGTGAAATATTTAAATTGCTCAAGTTTAAAAATAATAGTTAGATAAAAAATACTCTAATTAAAGAAAGAATAAAAAATATTTTCAATTTTACAATAAAAATTCATGATTTATTATGACATTTAGTAAAATAAAATCAAAAATAAAAATATATTTTTTTTTAAAAAATTATGATAGTATAATCGTATACTAATTAAAATTTTTTAAGAAAAAAGAAGATTTTTTTTTTATTTTATTTCAATAAAATGTCATAATAGAATATAAATTTTAGTTTTAAAATTTAAAATATTTGATATTCTATTTTTAATTGGAATATTTTTGGTCTAAGTATAATATTTTAAATTTAAAGGGTCTAAGTATTATACACTTATAAATTTTAAGGGTTTAAATATAATTTATTAATAAATATATTGTCAGCAGAAATCTAAGTATTATGTACGTCTAAACTAAATGATAAATCTCTAAAAATTTGAGTGTAATTCACCTTAGTTTTAAAAAAATAAATTGTCTGAGAGATATGATGGTAAGGCTTTCAAATCATGAGGTAATCTACGAGATCCATACAAATTTAAATGCATTTGCCGAAGATAAGAATGTGCCTTTTTACAAGTTAATAGAATAACTTGCATTGAATTGGGTTGGATCAGAAAAGATGAAAATTCCAATCCCATCTATTCCCACCTGACTATCCAAACGTCACCTAAGTGCTCAGTTTTTCAGTTCCAGGGTGGTCCTAATTCAAGATTCCCATGGCTAGGGTGTTTACTCTATGTAGTAATATATCTTTCGTCTTTTTATTTGATATTTACAAAAGAATTTTTTTTTTATCTTACTCTATTCCATCATGTGTGATATTCTTACCCCATTAATTGAGTAAAAAGTCGGGTAAATAAACTTTTACAGTTATTAGTTTTTGGATCGTTTTAATAATTCAATTAAATAACATACACGAATTTAAGAACACAATAAATCAATAACACTAAAAACCTAAAGCAACTACAACAACAATTATAATAAAACAGAAGAAATCATGAACATTAATCTATCATAATTGTTATACAAATACAATAACAATTATTTTAAGTTTAAATTATATGAAACACATTAAAATCATAACTGCTTCAATAGATCATTAGTTCACTACAAATTATGTAATTTACACAAAAAACAAGTCCATGTTTTAGCAACTCAAACATCCACAACAACGATAATGTTATAATATAAATTATATCACACAAATACTCTTATAATTACTAAAAAAATATATAAAAAAGTTAAATATATTTTTTGCAAGTAGGGTAGGATAGGAATGCGGAAATTAATGGGTATTCTGCGTTTCTACCCGATTTAATCGAAAGACCAAAAACTCTTCCGCATTCCTACCCGATTTTTTGTGACTAACCGTTCAGTAGGGTAAGATAGAAAATTATGACCAATCAAAAATTTGAACATTCCTACCATGGCCATGGGCATAGCAATATTGTCCCGTCTATCTATTTATTTCTTTGGAAAGCTCAAATTACTAATAGAAATTCCTAATAACACCGTTGGTACAAGGTGAGCTCATATTACCCGAATTGAAAAACAAGAAAATGGCGTAAAAATTTCACATGGTGCTATGTGAACCTCCATAATATCTAAGCAAGTCAAGTTTTATATATGTCATACTGAATTAGTAAAACTTGAATCAGGACAACTTGGTAGTCCGATGCAGGGACGAAATTAGCAACTAACTAAGCCACGGATGCAAGACCACCCTAAAAAGTTTCAGATTCAGGCCAACTAATCAAGAGGAGTAAAATTTACGGTAATTTTGAAACAAAATTTTCAAACTATGATATTTTTAAACTTATTTATCAAATTACGTAATTTTTTTAAAAATAGGGATGTTAATCCCGTTTTTAAGAGTGAACTCATTGGACATAATTCCCTCCTTTTGCATTATGGTTGATGATAGCAAGAAGCGTTCATTTTCTTTGTGACGAGCTGCCACTCGAATTACACCTTTTCTCCTCCGTTTTTGGGGACTACGGAGAAGGGTTCATACTTCCTTTCTGATTTTGAATAGCCTTTTCCCCTTGTCCAATAAAAGATTAAAATGATCCCCACTTTTTAATAAAAAGCGGGGTCAACAACTCTTTTTAATGAAAGTGGGACCAATAACCTACTTTAAATGTCGCAGTTTGATAAATAAGTTTAAAAATATAGTAAATTGATATTGAATTCGATATAAAGGACCAGAAGGTTTGTTTTAAGCAAAATGACACCTTCAACATCATCCAACGGTCCTACATACTATTCTGTTGTGCAAAGCTTACAACAAACTGTTGTATGGTTACTAAAGATAAAAGAATTAAGGGAGGATTAAAGAAGAGTTCAGATAAGTTTGAAGGTACAAACATCAAGGCTTTTCCATAGAGATCCCATTTTTCGAAAGAGTAGTTAGTTGTTCAACCCAAACAACAAAAATAAGAATTATCAAATATGCATGTATCCTCTTGTGTGTGTTCATAAAAAAAAACACAAAAATTACAATTGCAGAATAAACTTTTTCTTATAAATTTTCATGTTTCTGACAAGGGCACGAAAGAATCACACCCAATTAATATATCCAACTGTCAAGCCAAGTCCATATGAACTATAAAGAGTACATAGTGAGAACAGTTCAATGGCTGCAAGTATACTAACTACATTCATCGGTACAAACACATAAATTAGCAATAAAATTCAGCTTGGCAAATAACAAAACGAAAAGAAAATTTTATTGCTATTCTTATTATCATGGTACAAGATCTGCAGATAAAAGCAGCATAAATTAAACACCCACAGAAGGGAAACAAAAAAGGTAAATAGTTTACGAACCTTCAACATGCAGCTGAAGAAATGGAGAATCATCTAACTTCTGGCACGTGCCATCAGAAGCGCAAACTTGGATGATGAATTTGAGACTAGAAGTGCCAGAAGGAACCACGAGGTCAGAGACGTAAAAGGCTTGAACTAGTGCCACTCCAATATACTCCTGCACTCCATCAACCACTCCACCAAGGTTTGCAACTGATTGATTTGCTAATTTCTCGACATAAATATTGTAATTCGGGAAGAGAGAAGCATTTCCATGTTTTAACTTCCAAACCACCTTAACACTCAGGATCTTGGACCCCTGAGAACCTGATGTCCACTCAATATCTTGACCCTCAACTAGCCAAAGACTTGATGGAGGGAAATCAGAGTTAGGTGAAGAAGTTTTAACTGTGAGACTACCGAGCACTGCATAATATTCTGATGGACCACGAGCTGTGGTGTTATTTTCACCAACTGAATCAGATTCTAATCTAAGTTCAGTAACACCAGGCTTTGCCTTGTAGCATACAGCATGTATTTCTGTTAATACATACCCATTCATTGCAATGCTGCTCTCTTGTATGACCCATCCTGGTGCCTTTTCTTGATTCATGACTCGATGTGGCATAATGACATCACTGAATTGGCTTGAAAACTGGTTCATGGTAAGCAAGGTATTTCCACTGGATGCTAGAAGAACTGTTTTTCTCCCATTAAGGCCAAAAGAGAACTGAAGATAAAGGCCTAACATGGAGTTCCCTTCTGTTTTTACCTGCATAAATTTTGCATCAATAGCTAAACAGTCGGCTGTAGGCAGACAGGACTGGAACATAGAATTGTCTTCTCTTAGTTTGGGTGTTGTTACTGTTCAGCCCGCATTTATTATCACTTGACAATATTATCGAAATCCAAATAATTAAAGGTATCAAATAGATGCAGTGAAAGCAAGGTACTCATCACAAAATATTATGATGTCTATTCCAGATACTAGCTTACTAGAGATAGAGAATTCCGAGTTTTGTTCCTATTTCTACTGCAAAACTTCATCAAGTGGCTCAAATGAAAACTACAAAAAGACTACGATAATGAAAAAAATTATTTCGGTCAAATTACTTACAAATACAAAAAACATGATGGAGAAAATTTTGATGCAAAAACAGAGCTCCACAGAAAAACCATATCAAATGAATCTTCTGCCTAGCAGTACTGCTGTTTCATTGAACTAATTTGTCTTTTGTTTTAACTACGATAATACGTAAGAATAATTACTGGTCTTGTTTAAGAATCGAACCTGGATTTGAACAGAACTACAAAAGAAATATAAATATCTACTTGAGCTTGAAATGACAGACTTTAGGATTAATTCAAATATTAGTAGTTTTCGCAAGTCTCGTGATACTGAAATTCTTCGACATATACCTGTTTCATTAACATCTATTTCATCTTAATGGTATATCTGTTTTCATCAAGAATACTTGATCAAACCATTTATAACCACGTTAGGATAGGGAAATCTATACGAGGAAATTGAACCAAAGAACATGGAGTAACTGAATGGCTTAAGAAAGAGATACAATGAGGCAAAGAACGTGTGCCACCCCTCCAGTAGTAGTTGAAGCTACAAATCCATTATCTAGAAAGGAACCATATGAAGGTATAAGCACAAAGGATAATTAAGGAGCTCAATAAATGAAACTCTTTCAAATTTACGTCATCACCGGACTTTGCTGGCTCTAAAATCATTCTACATAAACGATTTTCATGGGCTTTCTTGAGATGCCACTAGAGTTTAAAACTAATAGCCAACAACCAAAATCATTTTAACTCAATTTAATTAATATTTATATTAATGTTTTATTGAAATAGCCAACCCGAAATAGTTAGGAAAAGACTTTGTTGAGTTGAATTTTAACTGCTGACCTAAATTAGCAGAATGGCCCAGACATACAGGAGACTAATAACGAAATAGCTGTGAATTGAACCCACAGTTGAACTAGCCTAGAAAATAAGCATGTTCAGATTAAATTGGATGAATGTGCAGATTTGCAGACTATCACTTTTCAATATGCGCCAGACCCATTCTAACAAATCTGATCAAATTACTAAAACCATAGCAGGGTTTTAGAAATCTGACCCAGTCAACATCTTCGATGGAAGATCCTAACAATTGGCCACCTAATCCTGGACTAGCCATATTCGAGGACTCTGTCTCTAGATCCCTTTTCTTTGTATTGTCCCCTCCATCATTTCATTCCTTCTAGTTTTGCTCCCTATAATATGCATAATAACAGAAAATGCAAAGAAATGCTTCACACATTGTTTTGTCTCTGGTTAAATTTCTTCTCATTGGTTAGTAAGGCAGAAAAGCATCATCATAATCTTAATAATCAAACCTTATGTAGGCATGACCTAATAATTGTTCGAGATACCATTTGGTTAGAAAGATTAATCCACAAATGAGATGGCTTACAGAATATATAAAGTGGACAGGTAAATCCCCCAAAGGAAGCTCTCCCTGAAAGAGCTTTGTTGTGAAATAAGCATTGCCTTCCAGAGTTCCTTTAAATGTGATGTTCCCTCCACCACTATATGATGCTTCCTTAAAACTAACATTAAAAAATATATATTTAATTCAAGGCAGAAGAATGGTACTCAGTATCTAATTGAACAGCAGAAAAAAAATGTGCAACATTGAAAATTTTGTGAAAGACTAATGCACTATATACATTTTTACAGGTGGAAATATGTGGCAATATGAATGCGGCATTATGATGTGTACTCCCAATAAAAAAAAAAAAAAGTGACAAGTCCAACAGGACCCAGAGAACAAACAAAAAAGCCAAGGATTCACTCATCAAGTAGCTACCCACGAAAATGGTAAATCACTTTTCGAATGGTAATAATGGTGGGCTAATTGTAGAATATATAGTTAAAATAAATCCTTTTTGCAACCCCTAAGGAAGATCAGGCATTCTCCTCCTCTCAAATGATTTTCAGACAAGATGAAATCTCAGAATCTCCATACTGAAATTTATATATTCCTTTGAAACTTATCAGTGGCAGCTGCTTCAGAATTTCTATCACTATGTATGACCAAATGACCAAATCATGGAAGTATATGATATGTCATACACATGGTGGAAAGGCTAAAATGGTATACATATTTGCATTAATAAACTTACTTGACCAAAACTTGAATCTTGTCTGGCACAGAATCTCCAGGAACCTCAAGGAAAGGCTGGGACAAAACAGTGTAAGTTGGTAAATAAAGCATGCCAAAGAGCCAGACATCAATAACAAATAACAGGATGAGTATAAATGTATTTTATACAAGAGAATATAGCTGAACTTTGGCCAGTTGTTCAGTCATATCACCCAGTCAATGGTAAATGATGGATAAAAAACTGTGTTGATGAAGTCTCCTGTGAGCAGTGGACTCCTACAAAATATGCATTTGTTTGGATTTCAAACTTATGATTATCTTTGGGATTGTAATTCAGACTTTTTCTTTTTCAGCACAACACAATTCTGTCAAATTGCTTGCTTGTGTAGTTTAAATTTTCTAGTTCATGGCCTCAATACCTATATAATTAGTGGCATCTCAATCTAAAGGTAAACAAAGATTCAGCACCATGACATGCAGTTTTAAGCTCGTTATAACTGCAAAACTAAACATAAATAAAGTCAACAGCCAATTCAGGATGAAGGTCTCTTTTGGATTCTGATAATGATTTGGTTGGGAAGGAATTGAAAGTCTTAATAGCTTTAAACGATCAATGTGAAAGTCTTAAATAGCTTTCAAACATCCACTGAGAATATTACTACGTAGTAATCATTGTTATACAAAATTGAATGACATAGAAAAATTGAACTGCAAGTTATATTACACCAGTGATCAGTAACCCCAGGAAATTATTACCTGCAAACTTTGGCAAGAAATGTTGTTCCAAGGATCAACCGATATTTCCCCTCCATTAATAGAGATATGGTAACCATGACCCTGAACAACAGCAAAAGAAATGTATTGATATACATTACAAAGGGTATGGTTCCTTTCACTACCAGCAGCAACCATCTAGATCTTGCCGTGTCATTAACAGGAACCAGATCAAAAGATCACATTGGGCAGAGCACAGATTCCCCATATTAGTTTGGTTACAAGTTTTTAACTTTATCAATATCTTAATCTATCTCATTATGGGGAAAAAAAGTAATATCCTCACAAATATTCTCATTTTGCACAGAATGTACAACCATAATTGTCAAATCGCGTATCGGAAGGTGTATTGTTTTTCAAAAATAGTGTATCGTATCGTATCGTGTATTGTAAGATACGCGCAATTTTAATTTTTAAATAATTATCAATGAAATATATATATACCTTTGTAAAAAAATCATAGATTCAAAATAATATAGCATTTCGTTAATATTCCACCAACTATTCAAGTTCCCAACATAGTTCAGTAATATCAAAATACAAACACCTCTAATTCAAACTTTTAACATTAACTATTTGAACAACTTTAATATTAATCAGGAATTTTGAACTCAATTGAATAACATCAATAGTAGACTTTATTTTATTTTTTTAAACCACAATCACTTAAACGACGTTATTTCACTAGCTAATAATTTAAAAATAAGTCTTAGGGTAAATCAATGTCATTTTAACCCCATAAAACCAAAAACAAAAATAAAAAGAAACAGAATCATCACATATCGTACGTATCTTATCGTATTGTAGGTATTGTATCGTATATCGTATGACACGGTACAAAAACGATACAGAAACACTATATGTATCATTTTTCAAATGTACCGTGACGTATTATACGATACTAATAACTATGTGTACAACTGAATTACTCAATTTAAAAAGGAAAATGCTTGTACACTATTCAATCAAAAGTTAAGTAATCAGTTCTCTTCCTTTTCCTGCCGTGATGTACCGTCACCACAAGATTTTAATGGTCGGATAATACAAAGTGGATTGGAGCCTAACCGGAGGAACTGGGAATCTGGCATCCATTGGATAGTATTTATTTCTTATTAGGAGCAAAAGTTCACAAGATCAACATGAAAAGAAAGAAAGGAAAGAACAAAGAACAAAGAAATAAATCATGCAAGGTTAATACCTGATCAAAATTTGAATAGAATGGAAGTGCTTTGGGGTAGTTCTGCACTATTCCCCATGATTTTTCAACAAGGCCCCACCAACTGCAAAATCCAGCACATATAACCAATGAAGGCCATAAAACAAATTTACAAACCAAGAAGAAATACAGCAGGGAGCTTTGATGATGTGAAAACTAAAAGTTCATTCCTCAATAGTGATAGCTTTGTGGAGGTCAAGTTTGGTGTGTTGAAATCACCTCGGATAAATGGTGCAACAAAGAAGGTCTGGAGTCTGGACTACATGAAGGGGTCCAAGACCTAACGGCTAAGTTCTGGTCAAGCTGGCTTTCAAACATTTGTATGAAGGCCCACTATTGGTGGACTCCACAATCTCCCTAATAAATGGTATAAATGCTTCATGGCAAAAGGATCCTCCAAACTAGACTACAAGCGGTAAAACGACACCAGTGGCTCTTGAGAAGAAAGTTAACATGTGAGCTGTCAGAGTGGCGATTTGGGAGTGGTGGTTCCAATAGAGGGGGAATCAAAAGTGATGTGATTGGCCCAATTGAGGGAGACTTTGATGCGGTCAAGTGCAAGACGTAAAATCGGATAAATGGTGTAACACATGCTAAATGCAAGGACCCAGAACCCAATGGCTTAAGCTTTTGAGTCAACAGTGGTTCTAAACACGGATATCAGGGTCTATTTTGGGAGGACTCCTGGCCTCCCCAACAATAAGCATTACTCTCAGGGTATAGTATTCAGATCTGTAATTGATAATTAAAAAAAAAAAAAGGTCCTACCGTAAGTAAAGAAAAAAACAATCATGGTAACTGGAATGCTAAAATAGCACAAAGTGCTAGCTAAACTTTCTTATTGAGTTACAACTGTTACAATGCAAAAGTACTAACCATTATTGACGTAGGTGATGGTGAATAAATATTGCCAAATGCAAGGTTTAGGAAAATAGAAGAATTTTAACAGTAATGCTATAACACTGAATGCTGTGAGTAAATAACAGAATCTGAAGCAATGGAATTGAAACTAGGGAGAGGAAAATAAAAATAAAAAATAAAGAAAAAGGCATTTTGGTCCCTTCCAGAAATAAAAGTTGAAACATATAAGTGTTTAAAATGACTTTAGAGATGTATGCACACAGATGTCTGGTCAACAAGGTTCAGCAGGACAATTTCATGTACAGAGAATGGATCAAAGCTTTCCAAAAAAAAATAAAAAATAAACGAACTAAAAGAACTTACAAATAAAATTCACTATATCAGAATAACAATTGGTCAGTTCTGCAAGGAAAGAGATGAGTGCCTTACCGATTTTGAGCACTCTCAAAATCAGGTGGTTGTTTCGTCTCGTAGACCCATCCAGGAGCAAATATGGCGGCAGACACATCATCTTTCTTAATTACATCAAGAGCAACATTCGTCTGAAATG